TCTTTTTTTTTCTCTTTTCTTCTTACTCTTAGCGCGAACCGATTTATCGGAAGGCGCAAATATGTATCAACCTCAAAAAAAAAAAGAAAAAAGAAAAAAACAGAGATCCACGTGATCTCCACCTTGGTCCGCGTAATGTTTACACGTTTGGTCCGACACTTCCGAAATGTTAGTTTCGGAAATTTGATTGGAATTCGATGAGGAAATTATTCGGCGCGTTTAAAAGCGTATCGCGTTGCCGTAATATGTATGTAAGAAATGTAAAAAATTATGAATAATGAAAATATGGAGACATATGGAAAACTAGCTAGTCTATAATTTGAGTAAAAACTGACTTTAACCACTTACGAAGACATACACGCTGACAGGTGACGAATTTAAATTGACCGGATTCGTGGTTACATATACGTACGTGCTTAATTTATTTACGCAATCGCGAATGTACGTGCAAGAAGCTAACGCGCGCAATATTTTCATCGTGCATGTTTTTTTTGTTTCTAATGAAACGGAAGTGTAATTAAAATCGTACCGACCGATCGACAAAGATCAAACACCAAAATAATTCCACATGTGAGTGACATATTCCTGATGCGTGTTTTATACATACCCTTAACTTACTGCAAAAACAATCAACGTGTTGATCGCGACACGTAATGACGACGATTGTTACATACGAACGATCTTGATAAACACACGAGTAATTTTAACGAAGTTCGAAATATCGTGATCTCGCACTTTGTAGATTCGATAATACGATCTTGACTGCGTGCCGGCTTAACGTGTTCTGTGTTTACATGCTCGCAGAAAATATGTCCTCTGACGTATTTATTTGGTTCGAACGGAGCGAGGGAAACCTGGCCTTCGAATGCCGACACTGAGTCACGTAGGTAACGTACATTTCGGTCTATTGCGCGAACATCGGGCGATTGCGACACTATCGAATTGAATTTGGGATTTGTCGACATCCAGTCGATAGGCGAATGGCACAACGCGAAAGTTTCACCGTCGTGAGACGCGAAAAATTTGCACTTGAAATACATATATATACATATGTATATATATGCGTGTATATATATATATATATATATATGTATACATATATATACTAAATTAATACTTCAACATAATAATTTTAATAAAATAATTTACGTAAAAAACTAAATAAAAAATTATAAAATTTTTACTTAAAAGACGTATCAAAAAACAATATTTTTATTATTACAGAATACTCGAGCAAAAATTGAAAAGAAAAATACGCTCTTGAAGAAAACATTAATCAAAGAAAAAAACGGCTCTTTGATTCACTTTTATCTTTGCCTATCTTGCACGCCAAGGTCAATTTTACGTTACTGTTATTACAGCCACGATTGCGCTGCGGAATCGAGGGTGCCTCGCGTCATTAGCTGTTCGCAACGCGTGTTCGCGCGCGGCTACACACATATACACTAATATATTTATGATAATAACACAACATTCGTTAAGTAAATTCTGAATAAATTACAGGATCTACTTGTGTGACAGAGAACAAAAAAGCTTTTATAAACTTGAACCGTTTAATTTCTTTTTCCACAGTGTAATCTACTTCATCTATTCTGCTTGTTAGCGCACACACTCGCGCCTTTTTTTTCTTTTTTTTTTTTTTACGATAAGAATTTAAATTGAGAACAATACAATTTTGAATATAAAACTGTATCATGAGATAATAAAAATATGACGATTACAGCAACAATGGGAAATCGCGTCGCGTGTGCCGCGCGCACGAACCAGGCGAAACGTAAGAGAAATGACGACGCGATGGAAAAAGATATACGCAAAACACACGCTTGGACGCGCCCGCCCCATTCGTTGCTCGAAACCCGGAAAGCGACCTAAAATTATTATCCAACTTTGTGCGAGCAACAAGTGTCGTTAAATCAACTCCGCGTCGTCCATCTCGTATATCGCGCGGTTGTGTATCGTCGCGCGCTACGCACGCATATTTAAAGAAATGTTATACCCAGTTGTGTATATACGCGCGCGCGTATATACGTATATGTGTGTGCATACATTCCCCACGAGCATTGTTTCACGATGCTTTTTGAAACAATGTTGTTCAGCTGAAAGAAACCATTTCCTTGGTGTGACTGTTTCACCGGTTAGCACCGGTTCGATTCGGAAAAGTCTACACAACGCGCACAAACCGCAGCAAGTTCATACGTTTTTACACAATTGACGCCACCTCTCGCTGAGCGCGCGAGAGAGGAGGAAACAATTTTCCATCTCATAACGCGACCACTCGCGAGTGAAACGTCTGCGAAAAGTCTGCGAAGGGAAACAGAAACGAGAGGACGAAAAAAAAAAAAAAAGGAAAAAGGTAGATGAAGCGATCGGTATTAAATAATAACGAGGCTCGCACTCTCGCGTTCGTGCACATGAGATTCCGACGTTTCGTCTACCGGCGCGGTGCACCACGTGTCTCTTTCTCTCTCTCGCTCTCCTCTTGGGGCGTGAAACACTTGAAAATCCCGGTTATGTAAAACATAGGAAAACGGCCCTGGAGGGCCGTCGCGTCACCTCGCGCCGCGTCGTGCCGGGACGTTAGGTGGAACGCGTAATTGAAAGCACTTTACAGACCCTAGCGGCACGCACAACGAGCTACTCGCATTTGCATTCAGTGGCGGAGGGAATGCCTTTTAACCGAAATGACTGCGTGTGTATGACAAACGCCGGGGTTTATGTGCCGGAACGATGGGAATATTTATTGGCGCGAATTAATGTCTCCACTCGTCCGTGTACACTGCGATCGGCGTTGTATATAGCGTATATATTTATCGGAACATTTTCGGAGAGATCGCGGACTATGACCCGTCGGGTGAATAAAAAGTCCATTTGCGGCGAAACAAAAAAAAATGAAAAAAAAAAAAAAATCATTTTGCGCGGGTGGTGAATTGTGCGCGCGAATTTATCGAGCTGTTGATACGCAATTCAACATCACTTGTTGTCACTACGGTCTGTGTAACACGCGGATTCTAGTTTGCTACTAAATAATTAAAAATTTGATAGAAAAAATTGGTTTTTTCACATTCGAGATTTATAATATTTTAATATTTAATTTGCTCTACGATCGAACCGTTTTCAATGATATTTCGTCGGTTCGCATTTGATAAAAGTAAAAAATTCGATTGATCAGTAATGTAATATTGTTAATGAAAATTTCACAAATCAATGTAAAGGATGGCGCTCGCAAAAGTGATGACGGGTTGGTCAAATTGAAAACACAGTATGTAATGCAGATCTATATATAATATATAGTTATAGATATATGTATATATCATATACATATTGAAATATCGTAACATATGTATATTACAAAGATTTATTGTTAGATTATTATTAATTTGTTACGGATAGTTTGTATATACAAAGTCTGTACACATTCGAGACTGATGATTCGAACAGCAAATCTCGATAATTAAGAGGTTTCGAGGTTCACTTTGCATTCTTCTCATCAACAGCAAAATACGCAAAATTAAGAAGAAATAATTATATACTAATATCAATAACTTTAGTGATTACTCGAGTTTGTTTACCTCTTATTACACAGACTTGTATATTCTACGTGTTGAAATTGGATAGTTTTGCAAAATGTTTCTAGGACGCACAAGATACAGAACGCTCTGTGTGTGTATGTGTGTATGCGTTTGTAACAACTGTCAAACATCCGCTTTAAATTTAACTCTGTCTTTGGACGCGATACATAATTTAATAACAGAAGATAAATAAAATGTATATACGTAGTCAGTAATAATTACTTGTAGATTAGGACATATTCCCAATATTATCTCACTTACACATCATTCTACGTTTACATCATGTTATATTAATACCGTCTCACATTAAATTGCATCAATCATCCTGACGATTTGTTTGTATCAATCTACACAAAAATAGTTTTCAGTCCAGTTTAGTCTTAATAATTGTGTGCTGTAAGTGTACAAAAATGTATTGTATAAAAAAATCTCCATTTTAATATATCTATACATCAAAGTATGCTCAAATTTTTTCTTCTAAGAAAATTGGCGCGACTTTTTACGAACAGGTAATTAGAGTATAAAACTATAAGAAAATTTATTACTGTAAAATCAGAAAAACAAAAATAAATAAGAAAACATCTATATATATACATATATATGTATATATATATATGTATGTATGTACGTATATATACATATGTTCTTTCTTTATTCTTTATTATAATTATTTATCATGTAAGCAATTCACACACAGTTGAAAAAATAATTAAAAATATAGATACATTAAATAGATTATATTTTTGCAATTAGTTTTGCACTACTCACTCTCACACACAACTGCTGTCGTGAAACACAGACAACTGCACTCCACACACAGAGCATCCTGTATTTCGTATGAAACTTTTTGTGTTTACATTTTTTTATCACAGACTGAATTTGTAATAATTATTTAATGGAATATGCATGGATGAATATATGCAGTCTTTGATTTGTTGCAAATACATATGTACAAATCGTATAGTCAAGTCCAGTAGTCGATCTCTAGTCGTATAAAAGAAAACCGCCAAATGTTTTTTTTTTCTCTAAATTTTTATTTTCCTTGTGCGCGAAAGGAAGACTCATATCACGTTGAATGGGCCGACGTCAAATTTTAATGCCTTTATAGAAATGAGATTTTTTTTTCATCAAAAAGAACGTTATGCAGTATAATTTGCTTTTCTCTTTCTGGAAAAATAACCTGGAAGTGGCACCATTTTGTGAATAAGATCATCAATAATAAGTAATACATGTAATTATATGTACTACAAACATATATATTTGTTTTGCAGCACATTTTGTCATTCGCAATTTCTACGACGTTCAACGTGTTGATAATAAAAAATTAATTTTAAACCCTCGAGTACGTGAGAGAAGTATACTTTTTGCTATATAACTTCTTGCCGGACAATTTAAGACGCAAAAATATTGAAGATTTTTTTTTTTTATGTAAACTTCTTTATATTTCTTTATAAAAGAAACATTGTGTGAGCATTTTACAATAAAGAATTTACACTACAAACAAAAGATGATTCGCTTGTATGAAATCGTCTCAAATATTCAAGGGCATTTACATATGTCAAGTAAGACGTATAAATCTCGGTCGCACATATAATAGAACGTCATGTGATAAGTTTTCTATCAAGAAATATATAAAAAGAATCGCGCGCGCGCGCGATAAATAAGACAATAACTAGTATCGTATTTCGCAATAGTAAAAGTGGAAGTAATGAGGTATTGATTGTTGTTTTGGTCGGGAAAGTGAGAGTACGCAATAATGATAATGGAAGATACGAGATTGGAGAAAAAAGAATTGTGTGTTCGGAAGAGAAAATCTGAACTCTCTTAATGACTAATAAAAAAATCATTAAACTAAAACTAATAATAATAATGTTAAGAATATTAACGCATGTACCGATGTTGTTCTGTAATTGTAGTATGCATGTATAACGAAAAGCAAACTATTTCTAGAAGAATGCTAATCTCAATTGTTTGTCAAAACCGAAAAAAAAAAAAAAAAATAAAGCAAACTGATCATCAGTCATTCTCATTCAATTCTATTGTTCAATTATTTGACCTTGAAAACCAATTCTTTAAAAACTGTTTACTTTTCCAGGGATTTTTGTTCAAATTTCCAAATTTAGAGATTAATTAACAGAAATATAATTATGTGAACATTAGGTGTTTATATGTATGATTACAGTAAACAAATTGAAAAATTACTCGAATTTTTAAATATCAAAATTGGATTTAAAAAATCTAATTGAAGATTTAAAAAACACCAAAAAACAACGGTTTAATTCATTATTTAGTTCCGTCAACAGTAAAGGAAATTTGAAGATTATTTTTAAACAAAAATACCTCGATGCTCGATTTTTGGAGAAAATTTTCTAGATAAAAAAATTCTCGAAAAATTGTGAAGTTTTTGAATTGTTTTCAAGTAATAGAAAATTCGTCTTACAGAAAAATAATTATGCCAATAAAAATGTTCGTGTAACAAAACAAATAATTATTAATGTATTACACACAAATGCCATTACTGCTTTCATACTAGTTACGTGCATTATCAGGCAATACTCTCGGCAGAAGACATCTTTCGATCACAAGAAAAGCCATGCCTCTGGAAACTCAAATTCCATTTTCACATTTCATGTAGAGAGGCGAATGGAGATGATCAATTGAGTTTTTGCACATTTTATACATGCACACAAATATTTACAGATATGTCTGTACAATCTTAGATAATTGTATACTCAAAAATCTAAATTCAAATATTACGTTAAAAATATTAATCCTTAAATATTTAATCTAAATTCCCTCTACAACATACTACGTACACCTTTTCTTATCGGTGACATCGGAGTTGTTTCGCACATAAAGTTATAAATTATTTTCGTCAAGTTTACAAAATTCTATGACATTTTCAATATTGATATTTGACGCTTGACGCTTTCGCGATGTTATATTAACATTCGAAGATAGTTTTTGAATGTTATTTGAAATATTACGCTCTTCGATTTTCAATATTGTTAAATTGTTTTCGGGTATATTATGTGATAACCAAAAAACAATTAAATATTACTTTCTTACTGATTGTGCTGATTATGCATGTGATTCGTTTCAGATATTATTGCTTAGCAGATGTCTACCATGCGAACATAAATAAGACATGGCTAAAAAACAATATGTACATATGACAAAAAAAGTTAAGCTAACTTTTCAGTAATATTTATATTTCATCTTTGATATTATATGTATATCTATGTACATATGCTTAATAACAATGTTTTAAAAACTTATTTAGCTACTCTCCATCATAAGCAAGCAAAGTGAAATAGTTTTTCTCTTAACGTTGTTTTTTTTCTTTTTAATGATCATTTTCAACTTATCACATAGCATGAACGCCTTTCTTGGCACAATATTAACATTTGTTCATTTTTTTTTCATCGTCTATCTACGAGCGCAAAAATAATTTATAAGCGCGTGAAGAAAATAGAAGAAAATAAGATTATAGTTTTGAATAGTAACATCTTAATTGTTGATCGAGCTAATGAATAAATGAAAAATAAACAAATCATAATTTATAGCAATTAGGGAAAAGTGGGGAAATTGTGCGCAGCGGGTAGTCGTGCGCTCTGGATTATTTAAATAACCAGCCATAATTCTGAACTTTGTCTAATACTGCACTTTAGTAGTTGGTTCTTGTAACTATGTCACACTACCCCGATTGCGCCAAATTCTTTGTGTACCAGTAGAGAAATAAATGTTTGTTAATGGTGTTTTTTTTGTTATTTCCTGTGATCTGAAGAAAAGACGGTAAAAGCCTCTAATTTTTATTTGTTTAGTTCCACATACATATAATCTTAAACAGCATTTTTTCTTGTAAATAAATTGTATTTCATAATTATTTTAGTCAATAAATATCCTATATTTTAGTGAAATTTATTTATTAAACCTCGAATCGGACAATAATAGTGCGCAGTCACAAAAAAACTGCACTGGAAAAGACTCTGAAGAACTATTTGTGTAACTACTTTAGCAACCAATTAAACGTAGACTGAAAATGGATTTTCTACAATGTCGTATATGTGTCGCTTGAAATATTTGCTCTTTTTAATAATAATTTTTTAATGCCTCAGGCCAACATACAAATTTCATAATATTTTCCTATCGTTTCTTATCAATTTTATTATTATAATTCTGTTTTGTATCATTAAAAGTGTTTGATTCTTAATGTAAGGCTTTTCTTTTTAGATTTTCCATTTATATTTTCAACTTTTAATAACTGCGCACAATAACCCTGTGTGGGTTGGGAAATTGTGAAAATGTGAACTGTTCAACTATTTTCAATGGTATTAAAGTGCGTTTAAACTTTAATCAAATTTACTTATATACAATGATAGTAGACAGTATAGGCTGTGTTGAAAATGTTTCAAGTTTAATAATAGCAAAGTTACAACGATTCGTGCTTAAGTGCGCACAATTTCCCCACTTTTCCCTAAATTGATTAGAATACGTGAAGTTGAGATGTTACTATATCAGAATGCGAATAAACTTAATATATTTTCTGAATAATTCAGTTCTTTGGTAATTTTTTTTTTAATTTTGCAAGTGCACTTTGCACTTGCTAATATTTCGTCCTAAAGTCGACCTTGAATGAATATTTCTATCGACACTGAAGACAGAGCGATCGATGATAATATGCAGTGTGGATGATGATGATTGAGAGAATTTTTCATGCGACGTGTGTGTGTGTGAATACGAAGACATCCTTCAATAAGAAGCGTTATATTTCCATGTTTCGTGTACTTCCGTAAAAATGTTCCAACTGGATCATCTCTGTGTTCTTTTGATTTCTGTGTTTCCTTTACTTGGTATTCTCTCTTTCTCTCGCTCTCTCTTTGTTATGTCTTTCTTTCTCTGTTCTTCTTTCTTTTTTACTTTCTTTACAGCATTCATGCCGATATCGGCATATTCGTACACTTTTTCGTGTCCACGAATAAGTGTTTTAAACTACTAAGTTCCTGGGAAATCATATTTTTTATGTTAGACATAGCAGGCAAAAAGAGCGAAAAAATTTTTAGCGTAAATATATCTTATTATTAAAGTTTATTATTTACTTGTACGATCTGATTTTATGAAGTGTACGATTTTTATTGCATCAAAATTATCTCTTTATAATACAAACGAAAATTTAAGAAAATAAAGAAAAAATCATAAGTTAAACAAATTAAAAAAAGCAAATTAAACACATGATATCGTGAACTTTATGCTTTAGTCTGGACACACTGGAAACATTTCGAGGTTTGAACATTTCAACATTTATTATGTCATACAAAACATAATACACAGAAAATGAAACGCAATAACAAATAAACCGAAAATTATCATATAATTCATAAATATGTATTTGTTATGTAAAATAGTAAACGTCAATTATTTCATTCAAAATCTACTTTAATAAGATAGTATCGCTAATATTTGGAATATCTTCGTATTCACTTGACAAAGTTTTGCTACCAAAAAAAAAATTAAACAAATATAAAATTAAAAAAATCATTTATAAGATGAAGATGGATATTATTTAAAAAATGTCAATTGCATTAATCTTTGTGTTTGACCAATCTTTTGCTCTCCTTACCTTTCTCGTAAAAAAAAAAATATTCAAAGCAAAATTTCTTGGAATTTTCATAAATGTATTCAAAGTGTTGTGTGTATCAGTCTGTGCAAAAACTCTATACATATTTTAAAATAGTTTGTGAATGTAAAAAAGAATCAAAAGATTAAGTTCAAATATAATGAAATTTTCACTTAGGAACTTCGAAATGAAATGCATATATATTTATAACATGCGCTAAATATCGATAAATTAATAAGTTTTTCTATTTAATTCCTCTGTTCTAGCAGCAATTTTATCCTATTGTAATTATTTCAAGTAAAATACATCACTGTCACTCGTACGTTTTATTAAACACGGTATATTCTGTATTCGACGTTTTATGATACGTACAAATCGACAATTTGTGATTCCTTTCCGACCAACTCGAAATACATTTGGTTCTTCTTTCAAGAACGGTAATTACCAAGAGCGCAAATAATCGGCGCACATATTTTAAATGCAACAACAAGCAAATTAAAAAACAATATTACATTACATTAGATCATTTTTTTTGTCAGTAGAGTAGTTAATTTAGAGTAGTTAATTTATAGATGTAACAAGAAAACAAAAGTGGTCCAGCTCAAACGCACTTTCACGATAACATATGCGATATAGTATTGTTCGTTTGTACTATAAAAAGATATAGGTGTATCGCGTAATGAAATATATATGAGAGAGCATATTAATAATATTCATCGTATTTTTGAAAAATTACTAATTTTTCAGTACTTCTTTAAGGCGGCGAATGATTAGAATTGAACTTGATAATGTTCGTAACAAGTATCATTTGAGTTTTGAATTTATTCTGAGTACTACACTCTGATTTCTTCGCAAACTCTTTGCTCTTTTCTACTTATTTTACTAACTTCTAGTGCAACAACAGAAATCAAAGCACGGAACACGTGTGTCTCAAACAGAGCTTGATCGCTACACCGCTTGAGACGCATGATGCGCGCATCTTCGGTCTAGATCGAATACGAGCACGACTATTTGGCAACTGATCGATTTAAAATCAACTGGCCGATGTTCGTATGTAATCTAGCGCGAGGAAGCGCATCGTGTGCCGCAGGTTTTACATTAAAATATTCTATCACAAGTCAGTCGCCGCCTATGAGCAAAACAAACTTTCATGACGCGATACTTATATAGATATTTATAGGTGCACATGCATAATTTGCAGGAGATCTTCATTCTCAATGACCAAAGAGTGCAATTGTATGCAGTTCATTATATATAAACAAGTGGATTTTATTTTTAAATTATATTATTTAATAAGTTTTTAATACTTATATTTTTGATAATAATTTCAATTTGCCATCTATCAGGCGATATTTAAAAAACTTTATAAAATAAACAATATGTGAAAATGATTCCAAACAAAAATTTGTTTCGCAAATTGAGTGTAACAAGACAAGTTTTTGTATAAAACGCGAATTATGAAGACCTCCTGTGAATTTTATCAATGTTCGAGAGAGTTAGAAAGTTGTTAAGAATCAATAATTGAGCGACATTCACGGAAATCGTCACTGATTATTCCCGTTATTCGGAATTCGAGCGGATGATAATCAGTATTGTCGAATCGGGATAGACCGCGTTACGTTTATCATATCTCATCAGCATTAATATTAAAAGACCGGTGTTGGAAGTCAAACATACACTCTTTTAAATTGAATCGTCTGACAATAAGAAGACTGTATCGCCGCTTACAATGACCCGGAACATCTCTTCTCCTTTGAATGTAAATATTATGCTTCGTTCCTAGTAAGGATATTCCAATAGTGTATTCGTCATAATATATTATAATGGTTGTTAGACTTCTGATTCATTCAAAAGTGCAGATATAATAATAGATGATAATGAGCTACCGCAGTCATTCAATTTTAGATGTTAATTTTTTTCATCACTCGATTCTATTATTACGTGTCACCCGGCGCGTTATTTAAAGCAAAATAATCTAATTTACACACACATACACACTTATCAGAATGTAGTTCAATTAATAATCAGGCTAATAATGCATACGGTGTATTTTGTACGATTTAGATATATTTGAATCAATTCCAAAATGTTGCAGATGTGAAGTAGATTCAAAATTCTGTAGAATTCTGGTTTTCGCGGTTTATCCCGTCTCCACAATATCAAAAGAAAAAAAATAGCTCGCAAGCAAAACAGGTAAAGATATAGTTTATAAAAAGATATAGATATTTCTGATAAAGGTTTTCAATGACTTACATGTGCATAGCTGGCATGGGGGCCGAGTGATGCTGTATAGCTCCCATAGAAGAGTTAGGCGACGGACCTGGCGAAGGGTAAACTCCGTCGTGTTGTTGTTGCACGATAGCTTGTTCTATTCCATGCACTCCTTGTGGCAAATAAACCGACATCATTTTATTCAATTGATCGTTTCCCTGACTTGCTTGCTGCTGACCCATATATTCTCTTTTAACAGCTTGCCCAGAAGTTACTGTAGCACCAGCTGTGGCTGGCCCGCCCGTCGGCGTCGGTGTATGAATACCACCGCTGGCTGGACTTGTCGGTTCCGATTTTATGCTACTGCCGCTGGGACTGTGACTTGACATTTGAGAACCTGGTTGGGCCTGATGATAAGGTGATGGCGCACCTCCGGGCACAGTGGTATTGCCATATCCATAACCGTTCATATAACCGATATTACCGAGTGGATTCGGGCTGCTGCCACTTGTAAGGTGATGGGGCATATCGTATCTATAATTGGCGGTAGCTCCCATGTGACCGCTGTATGTGACATGCTGTTGATATGCGACATCGTGCATCATAGTATACGTGCCGTTCGGCATGTATCCGTTCGGCATTTGATAGACATCACGTGATAATTGCGCTTGCTGCGGTCCGCTGTTGCTGCCTACTTGTCTTTGATCAACACCTAACATTCCGCCAACTCCGCTACCAACACCGCCAATTGCGTACTTCTCTTTTTTCATCAAGGTCTTGGTCTTCCGTCTGGGTCTATACTTGTAATCTGGATGTTCCTTCATATGCACGGCACGGAGACGCTTCGCTTCGTCGATGAACGGACGTTTGTCTGATTCACTCAAAAGTTTCCATTCGGCTCCCAAGCGTTTCGAGATCTCAGAATTATGCATCTTGGGATTTTCCTGTGCCATTTTGCGACGCTGGCCGCGGGACCACACCATAAAAGCGTTCATCGGTCTTTTAACGCGATCGATGTTGTTGTTCTTCGCGTTGGAAGAATTGCTCGGATTATTTGGATTAGCGTTGCTGTGACTGTTTGGTTGATGATGTTGCGATTGAGACTGTTGCTGTTGCTGGGAATGATGAGCATGTTGTTGCTGAGCGCTCTGCTGAGCGGCCATTGCGTGCAAACTTTGCTGTTGCTGCTGAGCTGCGGCTGCAGCGACAGCGTTAGCGTGCATGGTGTTCATGGAAGAGGCATGGAAGCTATGTTGAGTCGTCTGATGATGATGTAGGCCGAGTCCACCCGCGCTAGGTGGACTTCCCGATAACGACGGACTGTGAACTAGAGGTCCGTAAGACATTCCGGTATGATGATTGCCTATTGGCGAAAGAACTTGATGATGAGGAGGCATCTGGCCGTGCAGATTGCCGCCCTTCATGTCGCTCTCCATTGTGAGCATGTCTTCTTCCCGGTGGCCGTACAGTTTGCCGCTCTTTTCTAGCACGGTTAACGTCAAGAATAATCGGTGCACGCCGAGTGTCAATTGGTCTCTGATAATTATCTAAGATAACAGTCGCTATTAGCACTCGTCACTCTGTCAATAGCAGTATGTATATGCGATAACATAAAAATCGAAAAATTGGCACTGATGACAATCTCGGACACTGTGTCCAAAAGATTTCGCACGCGCGCACACTTCTTCGGTTTGTTCATCGATTAATTATATGAACATTCGCGGAGATTGCAATCGAATTTAATAATTTGCGATCGTGCATTCCGTACAAAATGTAACGAATCCTGGTCGCGAACGTATTCACAAAACGATTATTTACGTGAAAGCGAAATGCGCTGAGCACGATCTTTGATCGTCGTACTATCAATATATCGTCCTCTGCGTGTCTCTTATGCAGTCCGTAAGTCATATGTAGATGATATTTTTTTTTATATGAATCAAACTCGAGAAATTCTCAAACGATACGCGCGTCACCAAGTTTAAATCGGTACTGGCGAGCACTGTCACTAGTGTCACTTCTTTCCCTCACTATGTCCTATTCACCACTCCGTTTCGCCCACCAACGACTCTGACTGGCTACGAGCTCGACGAATTGTAAAGAGGGAACCCATTGATGACGCCGAATTGCGGCCAACATACGAAAGACGCTTTTTTTTAAAGTGCCACGATAGCACCGTTCAGGTCCGCTTATAGTACCGCCGTCGATGAGCGATTAACTCGCAAACAAAATTGGACGACAGACCGGCGAAAACAAACTGGAAGTTCACCAATCACGGGCACTGTTTCCGTTTACACCAAATTTTTTCTTCTCGCGCACACGTGTATACGTTTCTTTGGCGAGGGCGAAGCCAAATACGCACGTGTATCACACGATTACGCGCTTTTATTCACTGCTCCTTTTCTTCCGCTCTACTAGATTTCAACGACAACCGAGATTTTTCGATGCAGAAGAAGAGAAACTTCACTCTACCGAAGAATACAGCAGAGTGAACTGTATTTCACGTAGCTCATTTACTGCCGAAGGCGGCTCCCTTCTCCGCTCGACTTGAGCGTCCCCCTCCTAGGGAATACTAACCTTCTTCGAGGTAGAGCGGGGACTATACCCGACTGGCGGACGGGCTCGAGCGCGCTGCGGTGCAATCGATTGGCAACCGCGCCTGCCATCATTTCTCTCGACCAATCAGTCGGCTCGCTCGCTCGCGGAGGCGGCGCCATTGCACCGTGACGTTTGTCCACAGACAGAACCGACCTCTCGTGGCAGAGCTTCGTCCGACATCTCGCCCCCCTCTCTTGCGTTTTCTCCCCACCACGCGTGCAGTTCTCGCGCGCACTTCGTCTTCCCCTCTCACAGGTCGTTTCCCAAGACGCAAGACCTAAACATCTCTAGCTTTTTCGCACCGCGAAATCGGCTACCCGTTGGACGTACCGCTACATCGCTGCTGTCAGGAAAGCTGAGTAGCGTTTATGTGTATGTATCATACGCGAACCTTAATACATTCCTTTGCATAGTACCGAAAATAGTGCGTGATACCTGATACATCGACCTTAATGCACGAGTACTTACGTTAGAGTACGTACGTCCAGCTACGTGCAGCACGTGACACAATGCTGCTCTTGAAAATTTAAGTACTCGCGAGAAACAGAGAGAAGAGCTCGCACAGATTCTTCTAGCAAAAATATCGTATTTCTTAGATAAGATTTCCCTATGTGATTCATTTTCAGAAAACGTGAATTGATCTTATCTTAAAAAAAACGTTACGCGACCTTCGCTTTTTTTTCTCACGACCACACGATTGAAAATTCCAATGTGCTTATTTCCCGTCTTCGCGCGCAATTATTAACTGCGTCATCCGTCGTATCTTATCATAAAGCATTTTTTCATCAACGTTAACGTCAATGCGAATTTGCTCTTTCGCAGATTAGAATTTTATGAATTCGAAAATTAATCAGTTTAAATTAGTTACTGTCGCACGTCCACCGACTTCACTTTTTTTTTAACTCTCATTTTTTACTGTTCTTTTTAATTTGTACCGTTCTTTATACTTTGTATTGTTACTTACTCTCCTCCAGCTTGACACTCAGATTTGGAAATTCAATTTGAGAAATTTATTTCAGAATTCTTTGATACTATATGTATTTAATCAGGAAAATCTGTAATCCGTAGAACGGTAGTAAGTACATATTTCATCTCGTTTTCTTTTTGATCTTATTTGTTATCAAACTTCATCACCGAAGGTGATCCTCGAAGGTTGCGCTTCTGCGGGACCTGTTGCCGCGATATACGCGCGAAAAGGAGACGAGCTTGCTATACGCTGGATATACGCAGAAATACGTGCGGCAGCGCGTATCTCCATTATACATTTTATTACACACCGAAAGGTTCACCAGTATTAATCCTGCCAATGACCCGGAGTCACGAGAAAGAGCAGGTAAAGTGGGTCTGATTTTTTTTTATATATTTCAAGCTCTGCTTTGTCATCGGCTAATTCACGGATGGTGAAATCAACGACGGTGTTGAGAAACATCGACCTTTTCAAAATTGCGCGCATTACCTTCATTTGTAAAAAATATTTAAACCTGATGTAAAAATTAATCAAAAAAAGAAAACAAAAAACGAATCGACCTCATGATCTGTATTTCACTGGCTGCAGTGGCTTACTTTATTATAAAAACAAATTTATATAGGAAGTTTCGATATATCTTTACTTGTATAAAATCTTCAGCTAATCTTACATATCAATTTGAAAGTTATGACCGCGTGTCAACAACTTAGAGAGAGAGAAAGAGAGAGAGAGAGCCAAAAACAAAATATGGTCATTAGGTCAATGTGTTTCTCTTAAATTACAAATATAATAAAAAAATATATTTACTTATATAAATATATAGGGTGTTTCTAATTGATTCTTTTATTTTAGGACTTATTTTAAGATTCTTTTATATTTATCTGTTTTGTCAAGACGGTCATGCTCCGTTTCTTTGTGCGGTGACAAATATGGCGACACATGTCAATTTGATTTTTAATTTAACAGTTAAAAACCTCCGATGCATAGACATCATACCTTCTTTGTTTGTATGTCTGTGTTGGTCGTTTTGGCTCGCTGTACTTGCCGACGCGCATTAAACGGTCGCCGTGATGACTAATCAAGTTAGTTGCTGAAGATGATTATTAATTAAAAGTTTGACCGCGAAACATCCTAAGTACACTGTGTAAAAATTATTTGATAATTCACCGTCAACTGTGGACCATTGGCTCTTTGGGTCACTTCCTTTTAATTTGAATCGCCGTATTTTTAACTACTTAAGATTTTTTTATTTTAAGGTCATATCGCGTTTAACAATTATATTTTCATTAAATCTCGACAAAACTGTTTTGCATTATTTTCATTCGCAAAATGTGTTTGAATTTTATATGAATTTAAAAATGTAATGAAAATTTACACGTACTATTGTAGATATGTTGGGTGTCTCTAGTTGATTCTTTTAAGACAGAGTCTACATCGCATATAACAATTATACTCTCGTTAAATGATCTACATTTTGTGGCAATATTTTTGTGTCTTTTACAATAAACTGCATACGATCAATACGTGAATTTCGCTATCACAATGACGAATATTACGCGAATTATTTCCGCTTCGCAATTTGTTTTTGAAAACAACAAATGTGCAGTTTCTCAATGCAACTTGCATTGATTAGAGGTGCGAGTTTATCTCTCGATAAGGTTTTATCACAGCGATATCCGACGAACAATACCGAGAACAATAATAAATTAAGTTGATCACACAAGTGCGCATTCCGGAAAAAAAAAAAACTCGGCGCGCGCGTCTATCTTATTTGCGGCGTGCAACAGTGGCATTAAAGCTGAAACGCTACAAGTGGCACATAAACCGTGCGGAATAAGTGGATTGATAGGTCGTTACCGTCGAAAAAAGATAGAGCGGATCGCGCGATACATTCAAAAGCAAGGGTAAAAGGAGAAATAGAGAGGAGAGAGAGAAAGAGAGGGCATACAATAAGTCGGAGTCCGACAATAGGATACCGCGGGCGGTCTTTGTGATTCAAATCAATGTTTGCGATACTCGATGGCGCACTGCCTTTGTGGCACCGAGCTTTCCTAGGTTTGTATATCGCGTACGTATACTCTCGCACACAAGATGTACACGCGCGCGCACATACGCAACGGAGTTATCTGTTCTATCGAATGCTCGCGTCGCCGCACACGCGCACGTGCGTAAGTGCGCCATCGCGTGTGATAGGTAGGTAAGATGTATATGTACACGCACACACACACTTAGCGTGTGTGCATCGCGATGTCGCATACACGCGCATCCGACATGCGCGACATGAGAAAGCTCATTGTCCGTCTTCGGCATAGACGCACTCGAAACCATCGTGAACGGTATATACGATCGATCTCTCCTTCTGGCCGCACACGAAACGGGTCTCCTCCGTCTTGTATCCGTGCGCACATTCATTCATGACATCGAGCGACAGAAACCAAGAGACCTTTGGTTTCACGATTAAGATTCTTTTCCCTTCCCTCCTTCCCGCCCTCTCTTTCTCTCACTCTCTTTGTTGACCTAAAACGATTTTTTGTTCCAAAGTCAAAGTGATTGTTTTTTTTGCAAAGATAAATTAGACAAGCGGCTTTACTTCCGCTCTTATTGCTTACTAAAAAAAATTTGTATGAAAAATTTTTAAAATAATAAATAACTTTCGTTATAAGCGCTACGGTTTGCGTCGTATCACTTTCTCTCCGGAAAACTATCATTAAGCCGATAATTTTTCATGGAACGTGGTAAACTACCTAAACCTGTCGTTTTTGAAAGACCCTTTTCGTTTCTTTATAGTTGTACGAAACCTTCAAATCTAATGCGTGACCGAGGATCTTTGGCTTCAAGATAAAAAGCATTGAACTGCACAGCATGCAATCCTTTGAAAAACCGTTACGAAGCCGAACTGCCGAATTTAGTTTTGGTTTATTTCGATACCTAGGAAATGAGCCTAGTAGAATACAACGTAAAATTAAATTTTTGTTTTCGACATCTTGGTAGATTTTTTTTTTTACTAACTTCCGTGTGGAAAATAAACGTACAATTCTCTGAGTTTGTAATGTTCGACGAAATATTCGTTCAACATTTTTGAGTAAACAAAAAAAAAAAAAAAAAAAAACAAGAGATAGAGAAAAAACACGATCACGCGATACGCGAGTGAATTTGTAGGCGTTCGATTGTCAACAGGTGATAGCATTGGACCAAGCTCTTATAGCTCGAGTAACGAGAGAAAGGGAGATTGCGTGTGCGACGAAGAGAAAGGACGGAGATTGAAGGGGGGCGGGGGTAGCGAGATCAAGCTAAAATCAGGAGGTGGTTGCGAAGGGGGAGAAAACGGTGCTAACTCGGAAGGGTAAGCCAACAAAGTCTTTATCGTTTCGAGGACCGATTACAAAGCTCGATTGTACCATTCTTCGAAATCCAAATAATCTCGCTCGTCCAAATCGACCAAAGAAGAGCAACCACCGGGATCGAAATTTACGGCCACCGGTTTTAGGTAAAAGCCAGGGTTAACTTTTGTTACAAGTTTACAACAAGAAATCAAGATGTTGTTTTTATGAATGAAAACTATCAACAGCTGTCAAAACAGACACAAAT